TAGACGCGCGTCATATCGTCGGGTATAGTGCAAATCCACGTAACTAGTATTTATTGGTAAAAAGCGTGTATCTGCACTATACCTGAATAATACTTATGTACTTGCTTTAATACTTTATTATAAAATAAAATTAATACAATGATAGAACATCAGCCACAGAGTATATAATATCTATGGGTAAAGAACCATAGACCCTATAAGGTTATTGTCAGACAGTACACCTTCCCCTTAAGACTTTATTATGAACATTCTATACTAACTAGACAATAACTAACACTTTGACAGTTTACAATTAACCTTAGCTTCAACTAGTAAGTTAACAGTGCAAGTAGATAATACAAAAAGTTAACAACTAATAGTCAACAGTAAAATCTTAAACTGAACAATAGAATTATCGAAATTTGTGACATTGAACATACAACATAGTTATCTAAACTATTCATAAATCCAGTCCATTTTTAGGTTTGACTATCCCACCGACTGCGCCATAAATAATACTTTCAACAAGTGTGCATAGTCAATCCTTTATTATAATATTATAAAAAAAAAAAATAATAATAATAAGATCAAATTAATACAATGATAGAACATTTTTGCAGAGATACAGTTACAGAGTATAATATCTATGGGTAAAGAACAATAGAGCCAGCCTATAAAATTATTGTCAGACAGTATAAAACCAAATTTCCCAGGAGAGGGATTTAACGTTATTAATATATATACATATACTTTGTTATTTCTATAAGTACCTAATGCTACCGCGACTTTCATTTTTGCACAGTAAGAATTATATTATTTTGTCTAAGAACTGATGACAATAGATTCCCGTAAATCACGCTAATTTGGTTGTCACGACATTTACGCGTATTTGATTTGGCCACTAAATTACCGAAATGGAAACTCATAATCAAATGCTAGTTACGCGTAATTACGCTATCCCCGACGATTTCACCGTCATTTGACACGGTTGCGCATTAGCTCGCGGTGTTGCGGAATGGTGAATTTTGGTTTGCGCAACAATAAAATTATAGCTTCGCGACGACCCGTGTCGCCGTGTGAGACAAAACTACGTAAAGTATTCCATATACTACAAGATTGACGAAAGGACAATATATCATAATTGCCATCTGTTTCTAAGAGATACACACTGATCAATAATTGCTAATAACATGTCTATTTACTACACTAACACAGCAAATAAAACGCTTGAATATTTTGCATTACCTACTAAAACAGTTGGACTCGCATCTTAACCAAGGTCATTTTCACTAAACTTTGTCTCAGTGGTTTTACTGTATTGCTTGCTTTATTCGCATATTATAGACGATATGACTTATTACTTCTCTCATAGGTACAACTGTAACTGTTGTATGATGTATGATGGGCTGTATTATTATTATCTTACCATGTCATTAACCAACTTTCAAGTTATACATGTCAAAAGAAGACAATGGCAAGGTCCATAGCATTTCAGCTTAGACTTTCCTTTTTTGTTCCATCCTTTAGAGCATAGTTTCCCAAAGTGCTCCCTACCGCCCCCCAGAGGACGCTGAAGAGTTCTAGGGGGACGGTAGAGGTTTACTAGGCTTGCGCCGCCGGCAGGCGCCCACATCTCCATCGCGGGAGTATCGGTCCCGTTCAGACCCCAGATGAAATACCTGGGCCTTGTCCTGGACCGGCGATGGAACTTCGGGGAGCAATTCCGGCAACTTGCTCCCCGAATAGTGTGCGCCGCATCGGCTTTGGGTCGGCTCCTGCCCAATCTCGGGAGGCCGGGAGCCCCATGCAGAATATTATACGCCGGGGTGACCCGAAGTATGGCCTTATACGGCCCATTTGGAGTGGGGCCTTATCAGTGGCGACGAAATCGCTGCTGAGGAGGCCTCAGAGGGTAGTCGCCCTGCGAATGTGCAGGGCGTACATGACGGTGGCCTGCGCTGCCGCATGCGTCCTCGCCGGTACTCCACCGTGGGACCTTGATGCCGAGGCCCTGGCGGAGGTCCAACCAACTGGCCCCCAACCGGCCCCCAACCGGCTTCCAACCGGCCCCCCAACTGGCCCCCCAACCGACACCCCAACCGAACCCCCAACCGACCCCCCAATGACCCCCCAACCGACTCCCTAACCCATATTCGTAATGACACTTTTATTCGGTACTTTCGGTTTTAATTGTTAGTTTCAATTGTTTCTTAGAACAACTAAAAAATTAATTGCAATTAATTTAATTGCAATAAAAATCAATTCAATTGAAATCAATTGCAATTAAAATCAATTTCAATAAATCAATTGCGACGCGTCGCAATTGATTTAATTGCTATTGATTTCAATTGAATTGATTTTTTAATCTGATTGAAATTTAATTGATTAACGCCCAACACTGCTACGCGTGCCGCTCGCAGTGAGCCGACGATAACCTGGTACTCATTCTAGCGGGTGAAGACTATTTCACGCGTACACACTAGAACCTCCTTACCGTATCTGTCACGTTACTAAATATAATATCATTGTACGTTATACAGTTTACAGCTCGCTAATGAGTACCCGGCTTAAGATTTATATTTGTCTTCAGTATTAGATATCCTCAAATGAACCTATAACATCTTCCACATACTTGTGGGACTATATTTATGACAGCATCACCTTGATGTTTCCTGCTTCCACACGTGGAATCTTCAACAAACGAAGTATTATTTTACAAAGTGAGTTTATACTTATGACTTAAAATAAACCCCAAATGAAATCTTCTTCTAATAGTCATTTGGTCATACTTGCATCGCTCCTTTACTGTCTTAGTAAGTTAATTATTATAAATGTAAATTACCGTTGATTATCTGTTATATTCTCTTGTAGATTATGCACGGTGAAAAATATATACATATGTTTATTTAGGTGTGTAGTAAGTTAATCATGTAAGGATTATAATGATAAAATAGGTAATATTTCAATCTTCTAATTATCTCACTCGTCTTTAAATTAGGAGGTAGGTACGGTTAGACTTCAGTAAATAGGAAAACGATTTTACTTACTTTATCAAATTACTGTCGTGGATTCGGAATAATTTGTTACAACCGCAGTTCCGACTTCAAAAATATGTGGTTTTGCCTCCACGCAATAAATTATTACTTTAAAATATTCCAACAAAACAAATAAATTCAATAAATCATTTAGACGCTTTGCACTTTGCGGTTGTGGCCTTCAGAGTAGACAAGTCTCATCAAGAGTCGTGACTGAAACAAATGGGCAGTAGATTCGATAGTAGATATATAATTTATTAGGATTTTATTATTAAGTTATTAATAAAGTTATTAGGATTGGCCCCACTTCTAGGTATTCATCAGCATCGCCCCCTGATAATGTATGTAATGTAATGAAGATCAAGCAGTGATACAATCACAAAATTTCGCTGCATCTGTCTGTTTACTGTTTACCAAATACTTGTTCTTGTGCTTAAAAACATGTGTCTTGTCTCACAATGACCAACAGTTACATTCACATTGTCCAAGTGAACATTGCAATCACCAAGCGTCAGCAAAGATTTGCTTTACCTGCTTTGGATACGATTTTGTTAAAGTATTATGGCAAAGAGTAGAAACGCGTTGATTGTGTGTTTCATTGTGTTAAAACTAATAACACCGTCGTTGTCGAGGTCAGTAAAAAAATTTTACTAACATCATAGGAGGAACTGGGTTTCGTTATAACCTTCAAAAACAATTTAATTGTGCACGTGAAGCGTAAATCGTGCTTGAGTTATCAGATATTATATATGTGCTTATGACTGTATGTACTTATGACGCATACAATACTTAACATTGTTATGTGATAAAATTGTTTGTGATTCAGGTTCGTTTCTTCTTACACGGTGTTAATTTAATTGGATTGCACCCGAAGGGAATTGTTTCCACTCATTAATACGTAGGTACAAAAGTACCTTTAAAAGGAATCCCGAAATCCCTGAAATCTGAAGATGTAAAGCAATTGGGTTAGCAACCTGTACCAGATAATCTGCATTAGTTACGATTGTTGACCTTGAATTTTAAAGTGAACGCAATCGTTCCAGCGACTCTACTTCTTAACACTTTATAGATGAATAAAGTTATAAGTACCTATATAACAGATTTCAAAGGTTGTTTGCATTTAGCAATCAATCAAATATGTATAGCTTAATTATATATAGCAATAAAATATTATTGCACACAAAATAAAATGCCATAATTAAATATATACCTACTCATACACACAATAGCCAGTACGGAAGGAAATACAGAAACAAAAATAAGTGATATGTATAAAAATATAAGTAAACACAATGTCACTCAATAAGCGGCATGAGCTACTAATTTTCTGTTTTACCCTTTTGAAACATATTGTAGAGTTCTGTTCAATGTTTTAATAGACAAAAGTGATAGTACATCACAGTGACCTAGGTACGTACTATGCAAACATTTACAGTAGGTACAGTCAACAGCACATCAAACTACACATTGGCGTATCTTGTTCCATTGCACTGAAGGCGATTTTCGAACAAAAATGTGTAGTCTGATGTGCTGTTGTCCGTACAAGGGGCACTCAGAACTGTATCCATTTATCTGAAACTCGTAAGTTGTTGTTTACATTCTTTTGAAATTCCAAGTCTTCGTGTCATATTCATGAAACAATAGTGTATATTGTACTCACACAATTTATTCATGAAACTGGCAATTTTGTACACTGCGCACTATTTAGCACTTCTACATGAAAAGTTATGACGACATATATTAGCGTAAACGGACAAGCAATTTGGTCATTGAAATCTTAATAACGAACATAATAATGCAGGTCAAGCATAAAGTTTTGTATAGACCGTTAATAAAGAATGTAAAATAATTTTCACATTTAAAAAAACTACGAACTAATTGCAAACTGTGGTAATGTGTAAGGATAAATTAAAGTTCAGCAGACCATCTTGCAGATCTAGTTCTTACAAGGTATTGCAGAATTTAAAAGCTACATATCATTTTCAGGTTGAGAAGAGTCTTCAAAATCAAAAAATCAAACATGAGAACAGCGATTGCTATACTTGCCATCAGTTCTTGCTGCATAACTCTATTGATGTATTATTATTCACGCACATTGTCATTGACGGGCAAGCTTGAATATCAGGAAAGAATTGCAACTACTGAGCCGGCAAATGTGGGTCTACCCATGAAGCACGTTTCATTAAAAGAAATCTACGACCAGTTAGATAAAAAAGATTCTGAAGAGGACTTTCTAGCGGAAGATTATAAAGCACGTAAGAAATTGAAACTACCATTTTTTTTAATTTTAAATTAACGTTAAATTAGAGAATATAAAATATAAATATATAATTTAGTAGCAGTAGAGCTTCTTGTGAAAGAGTTGATTCAGGGAAGTGCTGCTGCCACCTTACCCATGTATCTCTGCCGACTAGCAGTTATGTGAGCATTAGGTGGGTACTACTGCGTTCCGGTATTGAAGGGTAAGGGTGCTGATAAAGTTACAGGCACATGGGTCTTGTCAACATGTCTCAGGTTGATGGGCGAAATGGCAATGCTGTTTAAAGATCTGAGTCGTACTTTAACTGGTATGGGTGTCGCCTACCACCAGGCGAATGACTTGTTCATCCCGACGCTTGACATTATAAAAAAATATATGCACAATGGTTAGAGAAGTGTCCCATTTCCTCCATAATTTTGAATCAGCTGTCACTGAGTTACAATGAGTCAAACTCTGTTGTCCTCTTTAAACTCGCATTATTTCGCCTTCTCTGCTGATCGTTCAGATTAATAGTTTAAAAATCTGTTAATTATTCCAACCTCGAAAGCCATATAAACTAGAAGCTCATTTATTTATGGTCTTTCAGCGCTTTTAATTGATAATCCTGGATGCATAATTCCTCTCTTTGCGGTGAATTACACGAAGAACTTAAATAAATCTAAAAATCGTAACTGCGGCGAAAGAGCTATACATTTAAAGAGAATAGACGAAAGAAGTGTTTCAGTTTCTATAGAGAAAAATCGCTTAAGGAAATACATGGCAAGGAATCCTGCATTCGAATGCTGTTACAGATTTATTCATATGGAGGACGACCCTACAAAATTAAGGTAAACACGTAGTTTATTAGGTGCATTGTCGCAGCTTTCAGTTTTTAAAACAATAGAATACCTATTCTGCCTTCTTATAATAATTAAAGTATAATCGAAATTTTTAGCGAAATTGAGTTATTAACATATCGATGGGTCCTATGTATAAGGGCCAAAGAGCAAAATCACAATTTTACAGAAGAGGCTTCCAAACTTTAAATATGGTATATTTTCAAGATTTCCTTGTATTTCGAGGTTTACTTGAATATTTCTGATTTCAGGAATTGAAACTATTTTTCCGGATTGAAATCGAGTATATTTGATTTTTCAAACAAACCGACGTTTCGGGCCCTTTATAGGTCCCATGGTCACGGTTGACTGAGGTGGTACAGTCTTAAACTAGTTATGTCTAATATTAATGCAAACTATCCTATTTTTTCAGTATAGTTACAATAGTTATTAATTCAAGACCTTATTTTTAATTTTACAAAGAAAACATTCCAATTTACGCTACATTAAGTTTTACAAATTATTTTATTGAAAGAATTTTTATTAAGTTCAATTTATTATTAATTAATAACAGAAATTAGAATAAACTAAAACATATTAATTACTACTGCAGTCTTATGTCTGTTTGGAATTTTTCATCAGAGGAAATATTAGATCCCAAACTGGCGGTACAGAGAAATCATCTTCCCTGTTGAAATTAGTATGTTTTTTAATTTCAATGGCCTCTCGCAGCATCCTGGGTAGATAACGGAGTTCTTTTGCAAGGACCTAGGGTTTGTCAAATTTCATTCAATGTATAGGTTTATTCATGACATGCTCGCAGACTGCAGACTTGTTTACGCGACGGTGTTTGACATCAGCTATATCGTCGCTGGAAACCGATAATGCTGTAACTCTCAAAAACTCAACTTTTCACTGGAGCCAAAACAAAAATTGCAAAAACAAAAAAAAAACATAACGCTGAAACGATTCGAGTTTTTTGTGCCAAATTTAACAAATAAGCCTATAAAAAAATAGGACTTCTTAACAATAAAATCGGATTTCAAATAGTCCTACTCCTAAAGACGATTATGTGAGTTACGACAATTTGATTTTCAGATTTTAACCCCAAAGAATGCTGTAACTTTCAAGTTAATTTATATGAAGGTGCGACTGATGCCGTCAATTTACGGTGTTCTAAGAGTGATGTAAATGAATTAGAGCTCCTTAACACATTTTTAGTCTTTAAGTGTTAACTTTTTGAATATGTAAGAAATTCAATACTGCTGTAAGAGTATTTTTTAAACCAAAGCAGGTAACATTAAAATGATGTTAGTGAACATCATATGCAATTTACATAGCTTTTAAAATCTTTATTATTAAAAAGAACCACTATTTGTGAAAAAGACTGGTCACTATGAGTAGGTACAATGAAACAAATCGAATTATAATATTGGAGATTTAACACAATAAAACAAAATCATTGACACTTTGTGTGCCATATTACATCGTTCTTAGAACTGATGAATTATAAATTCCTTAAATTCCATAAAATAATAATCAACAAATAATTTTACTCTTGATTATTAGTTTTCATTTTCTGTTCTTATATTTTAGTTTATTGTCTGGTACCTACGAGGAAAAAGATTAACTACATATTAAAGATTTAAAATTATTACATGTTAGTATAAATTCAATAATAATTAAACCAACCCTATTCCTCGTAGGCACTAGGTAATGATCGAAAATAGTAAAAATATAGAAACATTTTATCATGATTATAATTTAAATTAAAACCAAGCTATATTCATCCATTAAGCACACTTCAAAATTTAAAAAATATATATATTAAAATTAAACCTTCTAAATTCCATAAACTGCAACTCGGTTGTACATCACTCATATTTTCGGGTGTTAACTGGTCAATTGAAGGTTAGATCCAGGAACTGCAACCAGCTTCTGCACTATTGGTCTTTTTGAAAGTACACATTTTCTATGATCATTTTAGTAGACACTTTGAATAAATTTTCTCAGGGTTTCTAAACGTGGGCGTCAGATCATAAACTTTTGTAGAGACTAGTTTTGAGTTTGGCGTATTGCATATCTTTTGGTGACATGTCGCGGAGCTTCTTGATGCAGTTTGAGGCATTGAATCTGGTTAAATTATTCTCGGCGGAAGATTGTTGCTCATTTGGATTAGGTTACAATTTATTAGAACCGTCTGATAGCCGTAGTAATTTGTTATTTAAAATTTCAGTCTTAGATTGTTTTGACTAGTAGCATAGCGTTACTCGACAGAAAATTGTTTCTTTGTTCTCTTTTAGCTCATTTGTGTTTTTATATTCGTTAGCATGTGTAGAATATATTTTATACGTGTGTCTATTTTATTATTAATTAAACTTTGCGTTATGCATGACTTAACATACCTACAGTCATTTAAACTATTGATAGTAACTATCATGACGTAATCTGTGCTATTAGCAGTGACAGGATTCATGCTATCTAGAAATAAGATTTTGTGATACATGAGTTTGCTGAATAAATGATGATGGTTACTGTAGTGAGGTGAGAAAAAACTTCATAAAAAGACGGAAACGCACATGTATAAACATTTATCTGCCTGCCCCGATGGGAGAACGGCGAGAGATATATGTATATATCCAGAAAATGGCTTGTTTTGCAATATTGTATCTAAATCCGTTTTAGTGACTTAGTGAATAATAATCACCTAAACATATTAACATATCTACATATCACAATAACTTTGAACTTTGTAGGATTTCTCAGTCGAATAAAATCATGGTGATTTGAGTAAATTTCACTATAATTTAAATGCATCGTATTTGCGAGTTCTACGTAGTTCATTAATTTCAGACTCTTATGATCTGAATAAATAAATGAGATTAAATATAATAAGTAATAAAATAAAATAAGGAAAAAGAAATAATATTTAGAAATACTTTCGATTTCGCTATAAAAACCTCGGACAACACACACAAGTACCCTCACGCCTCACTGCTGCATGCGTAGTCTCTAAATATTGCTGTAAACCGCGATGTCATGAAGCGAGGGAAGGATAAAATGACGTAAGGAGAAATTCTGTACTTGTTTATATTTGTTTTTAAATATCGTAACACTCTATGCACTGTAAAAACTCGGACCTTTAAAACGCTGTAAAACACATTTTTCGTACTTAAGAACACCCAATTAAATGCTGTAAGTGTCATAGTCATTCTTTATAAATAAAAATGGCGATAAGAATTTAAAGCTTTTTTCAAAACACAGTTGGGAGCATTTTGTCTATAGCTTTATCTATAGAAAAACTTTAGAATACGAAAAGATTATTTTTACTTGCTTTAGTTTAGTTGATCTTGTAGAAGAACTTCCACTCCTATGAAGTTTTTATGATTGTCTACAAAACGCGATGTTTCTAAGCGATTTTTTCTTTTGACAGTATTACAAAACCTTTATAAAGTTATAGGAAATAGTGAGCGTATTATACAATAAAAACTTTTCAAAACACTAGGTCAAAAAACAATTGAAAAAATCCAATTTGTCGCAAAACAACGTTATTCTGTATAATTATATGGAATGTGTTATATATGACTAGAAAGATGGATAAATTCCCTATCATAAAAATATAAGGAATATTTTAATGACATACCTAACTTATGTTGGAAGAAATAAACTTTTCATTCCAAAATTGAGGTTATTTCTTCACGCCAACCACATTTCACACAATGATTTCAATGTATTCTATTGATAGACGGCACAATATACATACACAACATTGAAATACAGTAGTTTACGCGCTCATTCCAATTATTTTTATCATTTCACAACACCGAATTACTTCACAATGTTTATTTATTGTCAACAGACAAATGCCGGCCATGACCGGCCCGAGCGCGAATTACGACTATTGTATCCAGCGTTGCCAATTTGTGGAAAATTCCCCAAACTGTGGGGAGTTTCAACTAGATTAGGGATTTTGTGGGGATTGGCGCTATGTGACGAAAATGTAGGGATTCTAACATTTTATCATTTTGTTTAATCTATCAATTGCTGATGCATCGCTAGTTGATCGTTACTGTTAGAAACACCTGTTTCAGAGAACATATGCTGTTTGCGACAGTAATCATCTGGCAGCGGAACTTCAGCATATAAAGCAAGTCCTACATGCGAATAAGTTGAAGATTCCACGTCAATTCCGCAGGCCCCGTGTGAAACCACCAACAGTCGAGCGAAGACATGCCATTTTACATTACGTGAGAGGTGTTACAGACAAGATCGGAAGAGTCCTCAGGCGTGCATCTATCAAGACCTATTTCAAGCCCCGGAGGAAGATTTCTCAGTTCCTGAGACCCGTAAAATGTAACATCCCCTTACAGGATACAGGAGTTTACAAGCTTGCCTGTGAGTGCGGTCTCTCTTATATTGGACAAACGAAGTATTTGTACCCGCGTCAAAGTACATATAGCTGAAGTCAAACACCGTCGCGTAAACCTCGTCATGGATAAACCTACACATTCAATGAAGTTTAACAAACCCCAGGTCTTTGCAAAAGAAGTCCGTTATCTACCCGGGATGCTGCGAGAGGCCATTGAAATTAAAAAACATCCAAATTTCAACAGAGAAGATGGTTTCTCCGTACCACCAGTTTGGGATCCAGTATTTCCTCTGATGAAAAATCCCAAACAGATATAAGACTGCAGTACTAATTAATAAGTTTTAGATTATTCTAATTTCTATTTTTAATTAATAATAAATGGAACTTAATAAAAATTCATTCAATAATTTGTAAAACTTAACGTAGCGCAAATTGGAATGTTTGGTTTGTAAAATTAAAAATAAGGTATTTAATTAATAACTATTGTAACTATAGTGAAAAAATTGGGTGGTTTGCATTAATATTAGCCATAACTGGTTGAAGACTGTACCACCTCAGTCAACCGTGACCATGGGACCTGTAAAGGGCCCAAAACGTTGATTTGTTTGAAAAAAACAAATATACGCGATTTAAATCCGGAAAA